CCACCGGTTATGCGCCCTCTTTTCTCATGTTTGGCAGGCATTTGAGACTCCCGGTAGATCTAGAACTGGGGGTTGGCCCCCAAGAGGTACGTAACGAGCTGAGTGGGTGGGTAAATGAGCACCAGCGGAGACTTTCCACCGCTTATAATATAGCGGGGCAAAAGATGAGCGAGGCAGCTTCTCAGTCGAAACAGCATTATGATAAGAAGGCCAAGGCCATGCCCCTGCTGCCAGGAGAACGAGTGTGGGTGCGGGAGAGAAACAGGCAGGGCAGAGGGAAACTGTGTACATGGTGGGGAAATGATCCTTTTGTGATTTTGGACAAGGTGGGAGAGACGGGGGTGGTTTATCGGGTGCAACCTGAAAAAGGTGGTCGCCAGCAGACGGTGCACAGGAATGCATTGAAGCCGTGTACAGCACCCCCTGTAGACATTTTACCACCGGTAGCGGAGCCTGAAGCAGGCAGTCAAAGGCTTTTAGAGACTCTAAAGTGGCCGGAACCAGTGTTCTATGGGTTTTTTCCCCTAGCTCCGCACGGGGCTCCCCAAGATGGACCACAGGAAGCAGTGCGGCGCTCTGCTCGGCCTAATTTTGGCAAGCCACCACACAGGTATGGGGATTGAACTGTTCACGTCACAGGGACTGACGACGTCAAGAAGTGGGGGGATGTCATATGGGCAAAGTCTGTTTTATTGTGGTTTTCCTTCTAGTGTGGTGTGTTTTTAGTGTGTATTCTTTTTTATTTAGTTTAGTGCATGGAATGCTTTTATTTTGGGGAACCCAGGAAACTGGGAGGGTGTGTGATTTTATTTTGATGAGCTTGGACAGATGACATCCGGACCGGAGCAATTATCTGCACCGGTGGCAGATTAGGAGCGTCAGTTTTTTTGTGGAGACGGTGGCAGCAAGCAGAGAATCGCCGGGTGAAAGGACACCGATCGTCTGTGACGAGGCTTCATGGAGATGTGGGCAGGGTATTCCTCTGCCCTGGCGTGTGAGTAGCGGCCCTGTGACAAGGTGTGACCCGCGGTTTGTGATCGAGCAGTGACTGCCGTGAAATTCACTGACAGGTGGACCCGCGACAGAGGAGGACGACAGCGTGGCGCGGTGACGCGGCCGAGCCAGTGACTGATCTGCAGGAGGAAGCGGCCGATCGAGGGAAACGGCGGTGCGGCAGACGCGCATCTTGAAGGAGGAGGCGAGCGATCGAGGGAAGAGGAAACCGGCAGCGCGGCAGACAAGCGTCCCCAAGGAGGAGGAATCTGCCCCGCAGCGTCCAGATAAGGCTGCAGACTCTCCGGCCCAGTTCTGACAACCTTTATAGTGACTGTCCTAACCTGTTTTTTTTAAATGATGTTTTAATTAGAATTTTCAATAAACCCCGGTGCGGTGGTTAATGGCTGATTCCTTTGATCTCTGGCAGACGCTCTCAATTTACCTGGTGTAATCCTTGGGTGGGATTTTGTATCTGGTAGATATATAATATAGCCCACCCACCCGGTAGGAAGGTGCCACATTTATCTATCTATTTATTTATTTATTTATTTATTTTTAAATCAAAAGTAGACTTCAGCTCGAAGACAAACAAAGAAAACATCAAATATCTGACAGGCTCTCTCTTTGAGAGTCACTTTGTTGGGAGTCGAACAGTTATTTTTGGTTGTTTTTATGGATTCAAATAAAGAAAAATAAATGTTTTTTGATATTTTGGAAGGCCGTTGGTAAAAATAATACTTTGTCGTCGTCATCGTCTTCCCCCACTTATCCGGGTCCGGGTCGCGGGGGCAGCATCCCAACTAGGGAGCTCCAGATCGTCTTCTCCCCAGCCACCTCCACCAGCTCCTCCGGCAGGACCCCAAGGAGTTCCTAGACCCGATTGGACATGGAACCTTTCCAACGTGTCCTGGGTCAACCCGGGAGCCTTCTGCCGGCAGGGCATGCCCGAAACACCTCCCCAGGGAGGCGTCCAGGAGGCATCCTGACCAGATGCCCAAGCGGTTCTACTCCGAGTCCCTCCCGAATGTCCAAGCTCCTCACCCTATCTCTAAGGCTGAGCCTGGCCACTCTACGGAGGAAACTCATTTCGGCCGCTTGTATCCGCGATCTCGTTCTTTCGGTCATTACCCAAAGCTCATGACCATAGATGAGGATTGGGACATAGATCGACCGGTAAATCGAGAGCCTGGCTTTCTGGCTCAGTTCCCTCTTCACCACGACAGATTGGCTCAGCGTCCGCATCACAGCAGATGCTGAACCAATCCGCCTGTCGGTCTCCCGATCCCTCCTACCCTCACTCGTGAACAAGACCCCGAGATACTTAAACTCCTCCACTTGAGGTAGGACCTCTCCCCTGACCCGGAGTTGGCAAGCCACCCTTTTCCGGTCGAGAACTATGGTCTCAGATTTGGAGGTGCTGATCCTCATCCCAGCCGCTTCACACTCAGCCTTGAACCTACCCAGAGAGAGCTGAAGGTCAGAGCTGGATGAAGCTAGGATGACCGCAAAAAGCAGAGACGAGATTCTCCTGTCACCAAACTCGACACACTTCACACCAAGGCTGTGCCTAGAAATTCTGTCCATAAAGGTAATGAACAGAACCAGTGACAAAGGGCAGCCCTGGCGGTGTCCAACCCTCACCGGGAACAGGTCAGACTTACTACTGGCTATGCGGACCAAACTCACGCTCCTCTGGTAAAGGGACTGAATGGCCCTTAACAGAAAGCCACCCACCCCATACTCCTGGAGCGTCCCCCACACGGTGCCCCTGGGGACACGGTCATAAGCCTTCTCCAAATCCACAAAACACATGTGGATTGGTTGGGCAAACTCCCATGCCCCCTCCATCACCCTTGCAAGGGTATAGAGCTGGTCCACAGTTCCACGGCCAGGACAAAAACCACATTGCTCCTCCTCAATCTGAGATTCAACTATCGATCGGACCCTCCTCTCCAGTACCTTGGAGTAGACCTTTCCAGGGAGGCTGAGGAGTGTGGTCCCCCTATAGTTGGAACACACCCTCAGGTCACCCTTCTTAAAGATGGGGACCACCACCCCGGTCTGCCACTCCACAGGAACTGCCCCCGATGACCACGCAATGTTGCAGAGACGTGTCAACCACGACAGCCCTACAACATCCATAGCTTTGAGATACCCAGGATGAATCTCATCCGCCCCCGGGGCTCCGCCACTGTGGAGTTGTTTAACTACCTCAGCAACTTCTGCCCCCGAGATTGGACAGTCCATCCCCAGGTCTCCCGGCTCTGGTTCCTCCTCGGAATGCGCGTAGGCGGGATTGAGAAGCTCCTCAAAGTATTCTTTCCACCATCCGACTATAGCCCCAGTTGACGTCAGCAGCTCCCCATCCCCACTGTAAACAGTGTGAGTGAGTTGCTGCCTTCCTCTCCTGAGGCGCCGGACAGTTTGCCAGAACCTCTTTGGAGCCGATCGATAGTCTTTCTCCATAGCCCCACCAAACTCCGCCCACGTCCGAGATTTTGCCTCGGCAGCTGCCACTGCTGCACCCCGCTTGGCTAACCAGTACCTGTCTGCTGCCTCCGGAGACCCACAGACCAACCACGCCCTGTAGGCCTCCTGCGTCAGCCTGACAGCTCACCAAACCTCTGGTGTCCACCAGCGGGTACGGGGGTTACCACCACGACTGGCACCGGCCACCTTGCGACCACAGCTAGCAACAGAAATCTCAACAATCGCAGAGTGGAACAAGGCCCACTCGGAGTCAATGTCCCCCACTGCTCTCGGGACGCAGTCAAAGCTCTGCCGGTGGTGGGAGTTGAAGACCGTCTTGACAGGTTCTTCTGCCAGGCGTTCCCAGCAGACCCTCACTATGCGTTTGGGTCTGCCAGGTCTACGCGGCATCTTCCCCTGCCATCTGATCCAACTCACCACCAGGTGGTGATCAGTTGACAGCTCCGCTCCTCTCTTCACTCGGGTGTCCAAAACATACGGCCGCAGGTCAGATGATACAACTACAAAGTCTATCATCGACCTGCGACCTAGGCTGCCCTGGTACCAAGTGTACCAATGGGCATCCTTGTGTTCGAACATGGTGTTCGCTATGGCCAAACTGCGGCTTGCACAGCAGTCCAATAATGAAACACCACTCGAGTTCAGGTCAAGCGGGCCGTTTCTCCCAATCACACTCCTCCAGGTCATGCTGTCACTGCCCACGTGAGCAATGAAGTCCCCCAGCAGGATAATGGAGTCCCCTGATGAAGCATTATCTAGCACTCATCCCAGGGACTCCAAAAAGGGTGGGTACTCTGAACTGATATTTGGCCCATAAGCACAAACAACAGTCAGGACCCGTTCCCCAACTCAAAGGCGCAGGGAAGCTACCCTCTCGTCCCCCGGGGTAAACCCCAACACACAGGCAGAGAGTCTTGGGGCTAACAAAATGCCAATCCCAGCCTTTCGCCTCTCACCCGGAGCAACTCCAGCAAAGGAGAGTGTCCAACCCCTCTCAAGGACTTGGGTTCCAGAGCCAATGCTATGTGTCGAGGTGAGTCCAACTATATCTAGCCGGTACCGCTCAACCTCTGCCACAAGCTCCTTCTCCTTCCCCGCTAGCGAGGTGATGTTCCATGTCCCAAAAACCAGTTTCCTTGTCGGGGGATCGGACCGCCAAGGCTCTCGCCTCGGTGTGCCACCCGATCCACACTGCACCGGACCCTTCATGTTCCTCCTGCGGATGGTGGGTCCACAGTTGATACTTAATGATCCATTTATTGTTGATAAGTTGTCCATCATTTATTTAGTTTAGGAGCCTTTAAAAGCTTGAATGAGTCACAGGTCTTAGTTATGTGGCTCAACAAACAAATATACCGGTAAGTAAAACCACTATAAAAACGGTTGTGTACTGTTACAGACAATAAGTGGAAGCAGAGAAAAACTTCTCCTGAAACTGAATAAATGTTATTCAGGACCAATAGATAAATAAAACCTGGCTTCCAAGACAGGAAGCATAAAAAAAGCTTACTCACATGTGAGTCTCTCCTTGAGCTCAGGAGTTGGTGCCATGTCCACAGAGCTTTTGCTGTGGCAGTTGAGCAGGGTCGGGTCAGCACCATGGCTCAGCAGCAGAGAGCAAACCTCCACACGATTTTTAGACGCCGCTTCGTGCAGAGGGGTGAACTGCCACAGATCCATGGCGTTCACACAAGCACCGTGCTGTACAAAGGGGTGGGGTGGGAGGAAACAGCAAAGGATAAAATACAAACAGAATGAAGTAAGAATGTCCACATTGCCATTATACGCAACCATTTCTTTGATAATATTTATTTATTTGCAAACATATAACTTTAGTGATTTTATACGGAATAGTTAAAAAAACTGTGTTTATACCTTTAGCAGCAGCTCAGTGACTTCATAGTGCCCATAAGAGCAGGCATTATGTAGAGGAACAAGACCGCTGGAAAAAAAACACAAAGAAATATTAGCCTTAAATAATGCTCAATTAAAATCTACCTGACTTCATGACTACTCTAACATACATTCTGTCTGTTTCAGGAAACAATCTGGAGTCTCTAACTGGACACTGACCTTACAAAAAGTATGAGTAGACATGCAATGTGTCGGCTGGAACCACAGCAAATAAGTAATTACAAATATTTTTATACGTGGCTGTCTCAAATGCAGTTAAGTCACTAAAGCTGGGCGGACACTGCACGGCTTTTTCACTCGTAGCATTCAGCTTCAGCTCAAACTGTACGACTTCCTCGCAGAGCAGATCTCACGAGTCATGTGCTCACACTGTACGACCCAGTTTTCGGATACGACCTGACTGCTCACACTGTATGTCTGGTAGCAGCAACACGTCAGACCTAAAAATATGTTAAAAACAGCAGTTTTTACACAACACATCAGACTTTGTTTTGTGTTGTTTTACCTGTTGTCCTTCGGAAGTGTTGCAGGAGGACATACAGGGATTTATGGGATTTGGATGAGGAAAACAAAATAAAGAAAGTAAATCTGTGTTTTGTGATCAGTTTAATTTGACATGAACACGACAAACACGCTTTCTTGACAATCCTTGTCATTGTGTGTAAAAGACGTGTAGAAATAAAAATGAACAACACGTGTTATTAGGGAAATAGCAGGTGAGCGGTGTTGACGCATGATTACGCATGCGCCGTGAACGGTTCAGGTACTTTTTGGGTTCGCTGTGCCGCTTCAACAGTGCGATACCCTCACAAGGAACGAGCAAAATATCAAACACTCCAGAAGTCCGTGTGAGCTTACGATTGCTGATCGGTAGCTGGTCACGTGGTGTTAATGGCCTCTCGTAACCCCCTATACACTACACGACGCTCAGCGCAAAACTCGCCCCGATCTTGTGATTCTCACACGAGTGGAAAATCGGCTCAAAAAAGTGAAAAAGTCACATAGTGTACACCCGGCTTAAGTGTCCTAGTTTTGTCTCTTATGGTTTAATGTTTGGTCACTTAGTGCGTTTACATGCACATCCAAATCAAGCTTTGGCAATATCTGAGTTAATGTTTTAACCAGAATGAGAGCCTTTATGCTAGTTTACATGTCTGTTAGAAAACCAAATTATTGAAGGACATGCATGGTAGGTGGTGACAGGCACTCGCTTATGCTGGCATTCTTACAGTTGGCCCAGTGTCCCACAAATAGTACAGAAACATCAGCAGGAGTGAAGCAGACAGAGTAAAAGCAGGATATGAACATGGCTGAAGAAATGGACAAAAACAATGCGGCTGCACATCAATTGGCACGCACTGTTTATGCTCTGTCTGTGTTTATTTGCGATGGAAGTAGGGCGACATCGTCCTCTACTGCCCGCAGATAAACGGCAAAGGATGTGACACCACCAAAGCTCTGATGCACTTTACTACTCTGCGAATTAGAGACCAATGGTACATACTGCACAGTTTAATAGTGTTACACATCAGATGCAAACAGAGTGTTGTGGCGCCGATATTATCAGAAGACCACGTCCGCGGTCTTGTCACTTTTGGAAGGGGGATTGCCCAGATCGGTTACAGCTCGACTAAGCTGGAATGTCGTTAATATGCAGAGAAGTTCGGTTTCCTAACCACAGAATCTGGTTATCTTTGAGCTTTTCAAAAGTCAGCTGGACTAAATAAATATTTTGGTATTTCTGCATGTAAAACCACTGACTAACTCCTCTCAAATCAATTTCCAACACCTAGTCACTCAAAAAACCACACTGAGATGCCTGCCATGACACCCTGAGTACTTTGTGAAAAAACAAAAGGCTTTTTGGCCATTCTGAGAGAAAAGAGGGGCGCTGCAGCTCATGCAAGAACTTGGAGAAAAACTCCTGATTGTTTGGATGCTTCCTTAAAAACTCCTGTTCACATTTTGCCCACAATAATTACAGATGTAAGCCTAACTTATTGAATATTGTTGAACTATTTCAAAGCCACAAAGGTGTTTTTTGGGATAAGTGGAGCAGAAAAGCATTACTAAAACCACTGCGATTCTGGAGTTTTCACACTGCTGAAGGCAAACCTGAAGCAAAGAAGGAAAGCTGTGTAGAGCCAGGAGAAGGTGCTGATGCAGGTTTCATTATGCACACATCTACTAAAAGGAGAGATGATGACTAACAGGACACTCAACCGTGACTCATCTTTAATAAACGCACCTTGTAGTGACGTCAGTGGCATTTGATACAACTGGCATGTTTACAAGGTGCAGTCCCTGAACAAACTGCTCCTCCATCCTCCTTTAATTAATTGAACTGTTTTCGGTTGTACGTACCCCTTGTCCTTGGCGTGGACATCAGCTCCATGCTGCAGTAACAGCTGAACAATCCTGACCCTGTTGTATCCTGCTGCCAGGTGGAGCGGAGTGGACTGGACACAAAGAGACACAGAAACAGAAAGGAAGTGACAAAAGAGACACAAACGAGAGGACAAACCAGGACATTGTTGTCTTTAATCTTGTACACAAAAAGTGTGTGTAGGAAATGTTAATGTATTGTCAAAGAGCCTCTAGGAGGAGGAAAACACTTCTCCATCCCAGTTCAATCTACAGCCATAGCAAGTCTATTTCATGAGTGGATGAAAAGCAGAACTAATGAACACGTTGGGATTTGACTCATCCTCAAAGCTGGAGCAGATCTCAGACGTCAAGAGAAATCCTACAATGTCCTATGTTTCGGTTTAGACATAAAGATGTGGTGTTTAGGCTCCAAACCTGTCAACACTTTACCGCTACTCACTTTAGGAAGACGATTCAGATAGATTAATGTGTTCCCTCTTCTGACTACACGGTCCCTCTTGATAGTACATGTGTGTAAAAGCTTAACTTTTTGGATAATACCTCATTTATAAATTAAATTATAAGGTCTGAAGTATAAAAAAAGGAAACATGGCTGCAAAGTAGATAGAAACAAATACAACAACAGATTCCAAATTCTGTATGATAAATGATAAATGACCTGCACTTGTATAGCGCCTCTCAGAGTAAGGACTCCAAAGCGCTTTACACTACAGTGTATCATTCATCCATTCACACACTCATTCACACACTGATGGTGATGAGCTACAATGTAGCCACAGCTGCCCTGGGGCGCACTGACAGAGGCGAGGCTGCTGAGCGCAGGCGCCACCGGTCCCTCCGACCACCATCAGCAGGCAAGGTGGGTTAAGTGTCTTGCCCAAGGACACAACAGCAGAATTCTCTGTCCGGAGCCGGGATCGAACCTGCAACCTTCCGATTACTGGACAACCCGCTCAACTTGTTGAGCTACTGCTGCCCCATTTATAAAAATTATATATATTCAGATCTTTGATGAACCTGACAAGTCATCTCATATATGAAAAGATATAGTCTTTCCATGAACCATTGAAACAGCTCAGTCACCTACTGTTGTCTTTCAGTGTCTCTGCATGCAGTCGGTCAGTGCTACCATCAATCAGAGCAACAGACAATGACAATCAGTTCAGCAGCCAGCCCACTGTACTGCTACCAGTCTACAGCACTCATCAGAGTTGGCCAATCAGATGCAGATGCGTGCACGCACACACACACACACGCACGCACGCACGCACGCACGCACACACACACACACACACACACACACACACACACACAAGTTGCTGATTATTCTTATTATCTGATGGCACCATGTAGTGGCTGACAAGCATTTCACGACAGGACATCGTTTTATTTTCGTATTTGTGGCAGAAAGCAACGCCTCTCACTCCCGAACAAGCTCCTCTAGCTAACAAAACAAAGCTAAAAAACATTATTTTACAATTATTATGCTCACGTTTTGTTGTGTTGTCATATATTTATATTTTAAAGACTTACTTGTCCACGAGAAAGGTCGCCAACTCTACATCAACCAAGGTACATGCTTAAATGCTCGAGCACGCTCTGTGATTGACATCTGTACGTAAGCGTATTTGTTAGCATTGACTGGTGCTCAGTTCACATTCCACTGAGCTCGATGGGACAGCAGATGGGGTTGGCAAAAAAAAAAAGATGTGTTGCCTACATTATGTCAGTACATGACAAGACAAATACTTTTATGGATTTCTGAAATATCAAAAATAATTCCTGAAAAGAGGAAAACTCCAGATAACATCTTTAACTTTGAAGAGCAGACACATCACATGTCTAAATCGTCCAAAGTTGATGCCAAAGTTGTTTCCTGAGCCAACACCATCTTTGTTGTTTTTCGCTGTCACAGCTCTACCATTAGAGAACTGTCATTGGCTAGTCACAAAACTGTTCAGCCCAATGGTAGACCTTCTGAAGCTACATTTGAGTGTGGCTAGGCCACCTGCAGAGCTGAATCTTTTGCTACTGCAATGGTTTGTCTAGATTTCATGTCTGATCTTTGGCATTAGTGAGCAGAATCCGTAGATGATGTTCATAAATGTTCACCAATAGCTACTCTACAGAAATCAGGGCTTCCAATTTCCTTTTTGATTTTTTGGGTCTGATATATTATTTTCTATTGTTTTCCAAAGTGAAATTCATCTAATTTATACTTAAATTTAATTTAGTCTCCGAACAATCCCTAGAACAATTTATTCAACAAAGTGATTATTGCTAAATTTATTTCATCACAATCAATACTTTAATTTTCCCAAGCGACAGCAGTTTCTTAAAATGTGATGTTTGGATAATCTACACTTTACATAATCAATCCGTGTCCTGTTTTAAATAGGATGTAGAAACTGAAACAAAATACATATGCACAACTTAAAAGCACATTTAAACAAAACTTAAGATAAACAGGATCCTTAAAAAAATGAATAAAAATGTAGGAGAGAATCAAACAAACAAAACACTCTTTTTTAATTGCTGCATCTTCATTTTCCTGATCAGTAATTCATCACAGGATGATCAGGATGCTACGTGTTTGCTTAAAATATAAGCAGAATTAACTAGGGATGCACCGATACCGATACTGGTACCGGTATCGATACCAATACCGATATCAGTATCAGTAAAAGTTAACCGATACCGGGAACCGATACCAATGCAGTTGCTCGAAAATGGCTTCACTGTAACTTGTCATTTCTGTTCACCTAATATTTTAGTTTTGTGATGATTTCCATTCATTTATTTTACTTTTTATCTTCCTCACAGTCTTTTCCTGTTGACAGCAGAGAAGAAAATAAAATCTGCATTCCAAATCATTGCATTTTTTTGTGTGGTGGAAGTATCGGTATCGGTAATCGGCATCGACGAGTACCCAGATCCAAGTATCGGTATCGTATCGGTTTGGAAAAAAGAGGAATCGGTGCATCCCTAGAATTAACTGATTGAATGGATGAACTAGTCTATTTCAGCTGAATGATGGTTTATTCACTGCTGCAAAAGACAAATAAATCAAGTTGTTAATTTTAAAATGTATTTGCAAGACACTAAACTGATTTTTTCCTTGTTTTCCTGTGAAGACTGTCAGCAAAGCACATTACATAATACAGCTGTGATTGTGTTGGCATTTAGTAGACTTATCGTTTATGTAACTAAATAGACATATATTAGCATTTTATGTTGGACTTTTGTAATCTTGTCTGCAAGATAATCTGCATCTGCTTTACACTCACACATACACACACACACACACACACACACACACACACACACACACTACATAGCATTTTAACCTTTTGACCTTAACCACAGCAGACTACACCCACTGAAGCATGCAATGAACCTAACTAGAAAAAAATAAAAAAATAAAATGAAAAATAGGGAAGAGTAAATGTTTTATTGCCTGACATGATTTTTATGATGCACTGTATTAACAAGATTTCATAGTTTGAAACTAATTGAAAGAAAGTGATTTTTACGATTCAGCTGAACATGATGCACATGTCCCCAGTCTGGTTACTGGGCTGATATTAACACTCTCCTCCCTGAACTCAGGAGTTCCTCTTAGAGTCTGCAACAGCAGGCAGCGCTGTGGGGACAGATGGGATACATGTATTTAGAAGATGTGACAACGGGACACGGTATGTAGTTAGTCATCCTCCACATATCAAACACTGATTGGGTCTGAGGGTGCCTCTGCCTGTGTACTTGCTTTTCCCAAATTGCTAAGATTAAAAATAAACCATAAGATATTAATCGAGCGGCGAGCGAGCAATCAGCTGGGCCAAACACACACACGAATGTACTGTTGCATCACCATCATGCCATTGCCAGGGTCAGATCAGGTAATTTAAGCCCCGCCCCTACAATCTGTCATCCCTGTGTGAAGGAGCGGGTCCATGTGAGCATGAGAGCGAGCCCGGAGTCACAGAAATACAAAAACACTGCTGGTTCAAAGCTCCTGTTAAAACTTATGTTGGTTATTTTCTCTATAGTCTTGAATATACAAAAGAACATGCTGTATCCTTTGTTAAAGGTGATGGGTATTATTTGATATGCAGGTGGAGAAACATAATATAAATAATATTTTTTTTGGAGAAACACCTAAACAGCAGCTGTGTAAAAACACAGTTGTATGTGTGTCTTGTGTTTACGTAAGGGTACAAATTCTGCCAGTGCCAACACTTCCAGAGAGTCAGATAAAACTGTTAGCACAACTGCCTTAAACACACATTCCCCAAAATAGTTCCGTCTTCCACATGTGACGGATGCATTTCAAATCCACATATTTTAGATGCGGAACATTTAGTTTGACTCACTTTGAGGTACTGGCTGCGTCTGCATGGTTTTTATGTCAGTTAGCTGCAGGCTGAAACTACAGACAATTCAAGTGATGCTACTTCAGTAAAATAATTTAATGCATGAGTTGAAACAGCTGCTTCAATTGAGCAAATGTCCCTAGAGCATGTTCTGGTTCCAGCTATAAGTTCTGGCTCAAAAAGGCTGTTGAACAGAGCCGTGAGGACTATTTAATGCAAAAACCGAGAAATAAATTATTTGGGAAGTTTGCCTGTAATATTTATGTTAATATTTGCAGATTATTGAGGTTACGTGGTGCCCCGTAGCTTGTTGGAGTTGTGCCAAACATGCCACCAGGGGCTGGTCGACAAGCCTCTACTCCAGGCATTGTTTAAGAGTGAGACCCTAGTCTGGAAGAGGTTTCCTGGTCCCTGAATCTTGCAGTTCTTGTAAGGGTTTCTGAGTTGAGTCCTTAAGCTAAAGCTAATTTGGCATAGGAGGCCTACCAGGGGCCAAAGGGCTCCAAACAACATAGCTTCTGGGATCCTAGGGGGACTCCAATCTACCACATTAAGATGGTGATTCACCTGATCTGCCTGGAGGAGACCTCAGGGCAAAACTAGGACTGAGAACACCTTTGAGTCCCTCGGGATGAGCTGTCCTGCATGTTTTTCATGTCGCTTTTCCAAACATCAGTGTTTGCCTGCTGCCACACACC